GCGCATAAACAGGCATACATGGAAAAGTGAAAGCAAACAAGCGCATACTCATAGAATAGGGACGCCTCGGAGCATACACAAAGGATAGGAAAACAACAGCATACACAGAGAACAGGGAAATATATTGGCAGCTTGCTGACAACTAAATAGTCCTCTTTCAGTCCACTTTCATATGTGTGAACACAGCCTTTAAGGTGCTACTGGATTCTTACTCTTTTCTATTATTAGGGGGAGACTGGGCAATAGGCCTGATTTTCTCACAGTTGAAGCAAAACAAACTGGGAAACAACTTGTCAAGTAAACTTTCCTATTTCGAATGTAACTGTGATCAATGTGATTTACATGCTGCCTCTTTTACTTTTCCTCTGAGCTTAAGATAAATAATGCCAAATGTTCATAGAACAAGAACACACTGCTAATGGACACTTTTTTTTTAAAGACAATCTACATGGGTTTGGGTCTGTACCCATGTTGAATGTAGCGTAAGAAATGTTCAATATACGTATAAAGAAAAATTAAGTGTACACTGTACCCAAATTGTTCATGTGTTGACCGTTACTAATGAAGAGGGCTGGCAATAAACAGAATCATGGTAAGACTAATGCCCATTTTGACCGGGCATTAGTTGGAATGCAAAATTACACAGAAATGGGAGGGTAATTGAGACAGCATGGGGGATTTGGTACAGACTGTGCAGGTGCTTGTGATTTTTAATAGAGCTGAACATTCAAAAAGAAATAGACATACATACCTTCAGAGTCCTCCCTGGTGCCTAGGTATATAGGTAGGATACAGGTCTGCCAGATAATTTTGAAAGACCTCATGTCCTGAGAGTCTTAAGGTAATGTGATGATGTATGCAATCACACACAAAACAAATTGAAGATAACCTCCCCATTCTTGGTGTTGTACCAGCATAGCAAGGGAAATGATGCTAATTTACTGACCTAGATGGATGTGTGTTTTGTTCGTTCTTGTTTTTTTTAATCTCCCAGTGTTAAACGCAAGCTGCATGATGACTGGGTTGTGAAAGTTAAGTACATTCCAGCCTTGAATTGTTTTGTGTCCTGCTCATTGGACAGTGTTCATTCACTTGTTTTGGATGACCTGAAAAGACTGGAAGACAACCTGTAAGTCACAACTTGTATCCCATTGCATGTTTACAGGGTAGGACAATTTGAAAATGCTATTTAAAGGAATACTGATTTATGTTAGTAGTGTTTTTCTTCTAAATGGCGGTTAATTCCAACTCAGAATTGATAATTCCACCTCAGAGCCAGACAAAAAGGATCATTCATGCAATGGCCCATTTTACAAATTTATTTATAGCACACACTACCAAAAATGCCAGTATCTTTCTTGTAATCATTACAGCAAATGGTAAGCAATGTATACTTTGGAATCACTATAAAATTTATCATCTACAGCCTTCATATTCATCTGAACATACATGGCTCTGAAAAGATCTGAATTAGCATTGACACATGGCTGGCAATCGTACTAAAATAAAACAACAGGCCAGTGGCAGCTTAAAGACTAAAAACATTTATTTCAATATGAGTTTTTGTGAGTCACAGCTAACTTCAGATCAGGCCCGTAGCTAAAGTGGAGCATTTCAGGGCTAGGCCCTAGGCTTGCCAAGTCCCCCCGGGGGGCAGGGAAACCCCCGCCCCGGAGGCCCGTTCCCCCGCCGCTGGCGGATCAGGCCCCGGGGGAACCCCACCCCCAAAGCACGCAATATGCACGTCACCCGGAGGTGACGCAACCACGCTGGGCACGCTGGGGGCGGGGCCACGGTCATCCGAGGGAAAACTCTATGGTTTTCCCTCGGATGGTTGTGGCCCCGCCCCCAGCGTGCCTGGCATGGTCGCGTCACTTCCGGGCGACGGGGTTGCAGTGCGCGAGAGAGAGTACTCCCGGAGCGGTGCTGGAGTCCCCCGCTCCAGCGTCGATCCGACTTGGGAACCCTACTAGGCCCCCAGACTTACTGGCAAGGCCCCATGACTTCCCATCCAGCCCAGGGCCCCCGAGTGGCAGCAGATTCAGGGAAGGAGCCGGGTATTCCTGTAATTCGATTAGCCTGTGCCCCCTAAGAAATTTAAATGCCCTCCAACTTAAACAAATCCTGGCTACGGGCCTGCTTCAGATAGATATTTTAAGGGGAAATCATACTGGGAAATCTTATGTGGAAGTTTACAGAGGGAGGAGCTGGGAAAATGTTCTGGAATTGTTCGCTCAAAGCCTCTCATTACAATTTTCCTTTCACACATCTGTCTGAAGAAAGCTCATACTGAAATAAAGGCTGTTGATTTTTTAAGGTGTCTCTGGACTTTTGTTTCATTTTGCACCAGCAGACTAACACAGCTGTCCCCTTTGCAATTGGTTTCATAACTGGTCTGTGTGGTTTTCCCGTGCTAGCAGGCACGTCTATTCAAAATATGGGAAACCTAAAGTAGTTCAGGAACTGCTTCCCTCCGGTGCTATGAAAGGCTTGGTGCCTAGACAGCAGCAGTTCGGGTGAGTCTTGCTACCCTGCAACAGACCATCAGTGCTATGACAGTGGCAATGTTGATCTGTCAGGAGGTGGAAGGGGCCTTCAACTGAGCACAGGCATTCCTTTTCCACGCAGTAGCTCTGAGGACAGTACAGTCCTGATCTGTTGTCTAGGAGAGTGGAAGTGATGACACGGAAGAGAAGAGTAAGGAGAAAAAAGCCTGTGTCAGGGTCTGGTTTAGTTTAGTGTCCGGGAGAGGATAGCAGCCCTCTCTCAAATGCATCGCAGATGTGGGGCTTCATGGAGGCAGGGGCCTTTGCTGATCCCCAGGAACGTTTGACAGAGGTCTTTCAGAGAAGCAACCAAGTCAGCTGCTCTGTGTCTAGTGCTGTGAGCAGCAAGCCGAGTTTGCTGATACCTTCCTGATCTGCATCTTTCTTGCAAGCGGCCCCTGCACTGTTTCCCAGTTTCACCCCTCGATGACTGTTGAATGAGAGAGCAAATGAGAGTGATGGTTTTCTCAAGGCTGGCTCTTGCATTCCTCCGGTCCTCTGTGGGACAGCAGCTAGAGTGGAGGAGTCCTTTACAGGGCACTCAACTGACAGCCCCCTCACTGTGGGGAGAGGTGCACATTTTATTCAGAGAGCAAAACTTTGATAGAATTTAAAGTCCTGATTCAAAACCTCCTACTGTGAGTGCAAAACTTTCAAGGCACTTCTAAGATACAGCATAGAATATGAGCTGGAATGATCTGAGTTTGTGATCACATGTTTCTTCATGACTGCAGACCCGTCAGGGATTTTTCAGTACCAAGAGGAGTCAACGCTTTCACATACTGTGCAAAAGCCAATATCATTGTCACGGGGGGTAAGTACAATAGATTCAATCCAGTAACTAAATCTTGGTGATAACTTTCAACATTTGTTGGTTGCAGAAATGATTACTTTACTATAGGATTTGTATTCCTCTTTTGCAAAGGAACATAAATTGTTCCAGTACATCGAGGGCTCAAGTCAGGTACAACAAGCTAGTAAAGTGACATCCAAGTTATACATGATGTGGACATATGACTGGTCTTTTTACCATTTTTCCATTGTCTTTATTTCCCCCCCGCTAATTCAAGCAGAAAAACAAATAAATGGGATCACAGTGTGAATTACACACCAAATACAAAAACAATCACTGTGATATATAGGCTGCTGTGCTTTATTCGATAAATACATACAATTTTCACAATTATCATTAATATGCAAAAAACAACAACATTGGCTCAATTATTTAATACATTTTAATAAATCTGTGATAACACATTATAACACTATCCAAAAGCATATAACCCTGAACTAGTAATAATAATTTGGAGAAACCAGCATGCATGTATAGCTTCAATTTTACCAGTTGAAAGTACAGCAGCCTATACGTCACAGTGATTGTTTTCTGTATTTAGTATTTATTTTTTTTCCCTGCAGGGCAAACTAAAGCTGGGGGGAGGGGTATAGAAGTGGTGCAAAAATCAAAGTGATAAGCATTGTATTGGTGGTGAGAAGTGTCATTGAGTCACAGCCAAATTAAGGTGACCCCCATAGAGTTTTCAGGGCAGGAGACATTTAGAGGTGGTTTGCCATTGTTTCCCTCAGCCTGGCAACCCTGGACTTCCTTGGAGATCTCTCTACCAAGTACTAACAAGGGTTGACCCTAACATAGCTTCCAAGATCTGACAAGATCAGTCTAGCCTGGGCCACCAGGTCAGGGCAAGTATCATGTTACTGTTACTCAGGGCTTTTTTTGTAGAAAAAGCTCAGCAGGAACTCATTAGCATAATAGGCCACACCCAGAAGAAGAAACTCATTAGCATATTAGGCCAAACCCCCATGTTACCAGAAGTGTGCTCATCCAGCCACACCCACCTTTTGCTTCTTATTCTGTTTACCTTGTTTGTTGTCAAAACTCAAGGCTTTTTTGTAGCAGGAACTCCTTTGCATGTTAGGCCACACACCCCTAATGTAGCCAATCCTAATGAGTTTCTTGTTGGGTGTGGCCTATTATGCTAATGAGTTCCTGCTGGGCGTGGCCAACTCAGGAGCCAGCCGGAACTCCGTTCCTGTGCGTTCCTGCCCAAAAATAGCCCTGCTGTTACTATTAAATGACCTGTATTAGAAACTAGCAAGACAGTGACTGGTCAAGTTGTAACGCACAATTTGGCTCCTTTAATGCCATCCTGGCTCAGGCAAAAGAGTCTGAAAGTCCATACAAGCTTTTTGCTTATTGTAAGCGGGACAGAACAGATGTGGCTGACTCTGCAATGAGGAAAGGTGAGCCATTGGCCTTGGGAGGTATATTGGGGAGGGTGTAGCCTCTCTTTTGCTGTCCAGGAACTGGAGCACCGAACACGACTAATCCTCTTGTTCCGCAGGTGTCTCTAACTGCAGCATGGCAAAAACCTATGTGCAAAATAGGGCTTTGCAAATTCTCATGAGATGTAAGACTTGGGAAGGCCTATGAGGCAAGGGTGGCTTGTCAGGGTATGTTTAAAAATGCCTGCGGAACAAGACTGAAAACAGCATTATCTGCTGCAGATCCTGGGAGGTGCGGTGGGAAGGGTGGTAACAGCAAGGAGAGCAGCTGAGGGCAGGAGCATACAGTGGCAGCCCTGGTTGAGCCACTACTTGATATTTATTTATTCATTTATTTTTCATATTTGTATCCTGCCCATCCCGCAAGCGGGCTCAGGGCAGATCACATCATATTTTAACAGATAAAAGGAAGTACTTCTTCACCCAAAGAGTGATTATCACATGGAATTCACTGCCACAGGAGGTGGTGGCAGCTACAAGCATGGACGGCTTCAAGAGGGATTTAGATAAGCATATGGAGCAAAGGTCCATCAGTGGCTATTAGCCACAAGGTATAGATAGGGACTCTCAGGCTGGGGCAAGTGATGCACTGTATTCTTGGTGCTTGGGGGGGCCAACAGTGGGAGGGCTTCTAATGTCCTGGCCCCACTGATAGACCTCCTGATGGCACCTGGTATTTTTGCCCACTGTGTGACAGTGTTGGACTAGATGGGCCATTGGTCTGATCCAACATTGGCTTCTCTTATGTTCTGTTTCTCTTAAGTTTAAAAACATAATATAAACATTTTAAATCAGTGGTTACAGCTTACTGGTGAAAGCTTTGACCCATTAGTACAGATGGATATGGCTGGTTACTGATGGACAGCAACCTCGGGGAGGCCATGTGTGGACGCCCGCTGCCTCAGCCAATAGCCTAGTGGAACAACTCCGTCTTCCAGGCCTTGCAGAACTGAATATGATCCCACAGGGCCCTGATCTCGATGGGGAGCATGTTCCACCAGGTGGGGGCCAGGGCAGAAAAGGCCCTGGCCCTGTTTGGAGCTAGATGGACATCCTTTGGGCCAGGGACCACCAGGAGATGTTGATTATTAGAGCATAAAGCTCTTCAAGGCGTATACAGGAAGAGGCAGTCCCTTAGGTACATTGGTCCCAGGCCGTATAAGGCTTTGAAGGTTATTAGCAACACCTTGAAGCAATCTGGTTCTCAACTGGTAACCAGTGCAGCAGGCAAAGCACAGGCCGAATGTGAGCCTGCACAGGCATTGACATAAGCTGGTGCACCACCACATTTTGCACCAGTTGTAATTTCTGGATCAGCCTCAGGAGTAAGCCTGTGTAAAGCGAGTTGCAGTAATCCAGCCTGGAAGTGACCATTGCATGTATCACTGTAGCCAGGTCTTGGGGGGAGAGATAGGGCTTCAGTAGCCTGATCTCCCTAAGATGGAAAAATGCAGATTTGGCAACTGCAGCAACCTGGGCCTCCATGGACAGAGAGGCATCCAGTGTTACTCCCAGGCTCCTCTCACTATCTGGGCTGGCCCCTTCCAGTATGGGGAGCCTGGTGCCCACATCCATACCCCATTGACCCAGGTACAGGACCTCCGTCTTCGATGGATTTAACTTCAATTGACTCTGCCACAATCATCCAGCCACAGTTTCCAATGCCTCACCCAGCTTTCCAGGAACAGAAGACAGATGGCTGTCCATTAACAGATGAAGCTGGGTGTCATCAGTGTACTGATGACAGCCCAGCCCATACTCTGTCCGGACTAACTGGGCAAGGGGGCGCATATAGATGTTAAATAACATTAGCGAGAGGATCACCCCCTGCGGCACTCCACATTCTAGTGGGTACCGCAGGGAAGACCCTCTTGCCAAGTGCCACCCTCTATCCCCAACCAGGGAGAAAGGAGGAAAACCATTTCAAGGAAGTCCCCTGAACTCCTACATCGGTGAGGCGGTGTGTCATAAGATCATAGTCGACCATGTCAAATGCTGCCGTTAAGTCTAATAACAACAGCAGTGCTGACCCGTTTCAGCCCAGATGTCTACCGAGGTCATCTGTGAGGGTGACCAAAGCCATCTCCGTCCCATGGCCAGGGCAGAAGTCAGACTGGAAGGAGTCAAGGATGGAAGCGTCATCCAGGAAGGCCTGGAGTTGTTCGGGCACCACTCTCTCAACCACCTTGCCCAGGAACGGTAAATTCAATACTGGGCAGTAGTTGGTCAGGACCGTCAGGTCTCGCGATGGCTTTTTCAAGAGCGTACAAATCACCGCCTCCTTCAAAGCCTCTGGGAAAGTCCCAGTAGAAAGGGACAAGTTGATAAGTTCTTCCAGAGGAGCCCGAATGCTCTCCCCACAAGATTTCACTAGCCAGGAAGGGCATGGGTCAAGGAGGCAGGTAGTAGGCCTCACTGCTGCCAGGATCCTGTCAACTTCCTCCTAGGAGAGTCTATCGAAGTGGTCCAATACCAGACCAGAAGATGGACAAGGGGCTTCCAGTCCCTTTACTGTTTCAATGTGGCCCGGAGGTCCTGGCAGAATGTCATGATCTTATCTGCAAAATAGCTCACAAATGCCTCACAGCCAATAGCCAATTCCCTACTATTTGGTCTGCCCTGTGGCAGAGTCATAATAGACCGAATAACTAAACTATTGGGCTGGGTGTGAGCTCACAGACATAACGGAGGCCGTGTAGAAATCCTTCTTTGTGGCCTTCACTGCCATCTCATAGGCCTTCATAAACGTCCTATAAGATGTTCATGACACTTCGTCATGAGCATGCTGCCACCTTCGCTCTAGCCGTCTTAGCTCCCACTTCACCCTCCACAGCTCTGTGGTATACCACAGTGCTGCTTTGGTGCGGGGGCGTAGAGGGGACCGGGGGGGGCGATCTCATCGATGATATGGAGGTGTAAGTGTGCATTTTTCATATTTCTACCTGCTGCAATTTGGAGAGAATATTAGCATTACTCTGAAGGCCTTCTTTCAGACACCAAACAATCACAACTGGGACAACTCTGTCACATCCCTACTAAAGGCTCATTCAGATGCAGAAGAATGAGGATGAGAAATCATGATTTCTGCTCTTCTGCCTGGCTAGAATATCACATATGGAAGACAGGTCAAAATTTTTGACAAATCATATAGTTAGGTTTCTGCATCACAAAGAGCCTCCAGCTCTTTGGGTGTTTTCCTGACACCTTCCTAGGACAGCAATGAGCCACTAGCAATGTTTTGTTTTCATTTTGTTTTTAATGGAGCACACTTGCGTCCAGCTATAGAATTACTCTGCATAGCTTAGTCAGCAAAACAAAGACAAACAGTTAAAAAAACCCAACGACTGGAGCTAATAGAATCATGCTGAATCATTCAAATAGTTATTTTAAAACACACACCCCCATAACATAAATAATTTAAAGACTTGTCTTCTGGTATATTGAAATGTGCCAGTACTTGCTGAATCAAAATCATGCTAACACAAATCAGAAGTATTTTTAAAATGATTTGGCTGTCACTGAATGCTAAGATCAGCAAGTCTACAATATTGTTTACTATAATCATGTGACCCTGACACAGTGTTTCAGGTCCTGCCTGACTGTGAAATAGATTATATTTGTGAAAATGGCTTTTTTTAAAAGCAATCCTTTATAGCTCAATAGATCATTCTTTATTGATGAGAATAAGTCTTAAATGCCTGTTATTCATGTCACCCAGAAGAATGATGACATCTGGGGAGAGTGACAGCAGAGAGCATAGTATTTCACGCTTGTTCCTCATGTCAATAGGAATCTTAAAAGGCTTAAGCAATGGATGCTGCAGAGGTCTGACTGTATTTCAAACCTTTGGCTTGTATTATAACGTCATTAGCTACCTCAGATTCTAACTAACATCTTGAGCTCTCCAAGCCAGTTCTATGACACATGCTGCCTCTCGATAAATGCAGGAAACGATGGAATCACTCCTGATTTTTCCACACGTACCTGCCCACACAGCAGATCATTTCGCGTCTGAGGGGCAAGTGCCTTTTTGCGTCACAGAAATTGGCCCAGAGTGCCCCCGTCCTCGGCTGTCATTTTAAACTGGTGAAGTGCAAGGAAGAAGAAGAAGAATCGTGTGTCATCAAGTTGCATGTCACCGGCTTATAATGACAGCCCGACTCATGGGGTTTTTCAAGGCAAGAGATGTGCAGAGATGGTTTGCCATTGCCTTCCTCCACATAGCAACCCTGGTCTTCATTGGTAGTCTCCTGTCCGTGTACTAACTTTAGCTGACCCTGCTTAGCTTCCAAGTTCTAGTGAGCTTGAGCTAGTTTGGGCTGCTACAAGAAAGAATAAACTTTGCCCGGGTAAGCCCAATCTCGTCAGATCGTGGAAGCTAAGCAGGGCCGACCCTGGCAAGTAATTGGGTGGGAGACTTCCGGAGAATACCAGGGCCGGGAGGCAGCGGCAGGCAAAGGCAGGCTATCAAGCCAGTTCTCTGAACATCCTCCACACCCCAATAGGAGTTGCCAGAGGTCGCCATGACTTCCAGGCATGGGCACACACACAAAATGCAAAAATACTAAAAAAAAAAAAAGAATAATAGAGTTTTACTTGTGATGGTCAGGAATAAAATATCGAAGGAACTTCTGTTTGGTTGCAACCTGAGCACAACCTTATACTCAGCCACTAGGACTAAGAGCAAATTTGGAAATTAAAACAACCCTGGAGAAGAAAGCATCAGAGTGGGCCCTACATACGCCCCTGATCAGATTGGAGGGTGGAGTGAGGATTGCCAACACTGGTCTGTGACATTCCTGGAGATCTGGGAGAGTGTTTTGGGAATGAGGAGTCTGGGGGAGAAGAGGGAGCTCAGCAGGGATGGGATGCCAATGAGGCCCCCCTCTGAAGCTGACATCTCCTCACCTCTGTGGTTTGGCAACTGACAAGAAATGGGGGAGGGGGAGGACATGCGACCTGTAGGTGAGGTCATCATGCATGATGTGCTAGCATTTGCCCAAAACTCCAATCATAACTATGAGAAACCAGGTGTAACCCTGCCTCTCTGGTTTTTGAGATCTACTGAGGCATTTCCATCAGATTTCATGAATGAGTGGGATAGTTGTCATGACATGAATATTTTGCTGGTCTTTTTTGCTTAGGACTGCCTCCTTGCTCATGAAGGTCAGTATTGTCTACCCTGATTGTGAGTGGCTCCCCAGGGTCTCAGGTAGAGGTTTTTCACATCACCAACTACTTGGTCCCACCCCCAAACAGCTCATAGGGAGTGGAGGCCTGGCATCCTTATTTATCACTGAGGTACAGCGCCTCCCCTTTTAGATGTAAAGAATAGCATCCTGCTTTGTGGTACCTGATGGCAGAGAAGAAAAAGAAATAAAGGAAGAACTTGTGCTTGCTGGGAGGACCTACCAATGTACTTGATTCTCCATCATTTCTTCTTTTACTTGGGTAGTTTATTGGCTGCTGAGTTCCCATTAACACAGTGTCATAAGATCTCATTTTCCCACCGTAAATTGTGATGTTGCACAACCTGCTTTGCATTTTTTCAAAAAATCCACTCACTTTTTGTTCTCCAGTACTCTACAAACCTGGGGATTCTCCCCATTCATGGATGACCTACCCCTTGCAGAATTTTTGATCCATATACAGAAGCCAAGTTCAGGATTGGATATATAGGCTAAATTGTTATACAGCCCAGGTATCACCGTTTGTTTCGGATATCCCACAAACAAAATGGGCAGACTGCATAACTGGTCAATTTCTCTTTGCAGGAGAGGACAAAGTCCTTCGTTTGTGGCATCCGAACATCAATACCAAGCCAGTGGGGAAGCTGATGGGGCACTTATTTAGTATCATGGAGATTGTCACCAATGAAAAAGACCAACACATTATTAGTCTTTCCACTGGGAAGGTAAACTGTTTTTCTTGAAGTTCATAAAAGCAGATAGATCGTACTTAAACCAGAGGGCTAAATCTTTACAGAATATTAGGCAGAGCCTTTTCTGTCATGGCACCTTGGTTGTGAAATGCTCTGTCCTTTGCAGTTTTCCTGGCACCAAGTCTTTTAAGTTTTAGGCATCAGGGAAAAGCCTTTTCATTTGCCCTGGCCAGAATCTGCATCAGGGGTCCACAGGCTGAGGCATCTCCTGTGACTCCCAGCCCAGCATAAGGCTACAATTAATCAGAGATGCTTGGCCCCTCCGCTCCCACCAGAAATGGAAGATCGTCTCACAGGGACCTCTGATGATACAGTAGCATGGGAATGTCGTCTATTTCATGCTGTGAGAAGAGGCCCAGTGAGGGACTCCTTTGTATTCCTTTTAGTCCTACCATTATCAATTCAAAGTTTAAAGGAGTGGGAAGAGTCACATGTTGCTCCTGCTTTGAAGAGAGTTGTCTTGCATGTGCTGATGAGAGGGTAGTATGTATGGTGGGTGGGATACTTGAGGGCATATTCCCCAGGCTTCCCAAAACCTACAGCCAGTCTTGAGCCAGGCATTCTGCTAACTGTGTAATATTGTGTCTTGTTGGTGCTTGGTTGATTTGGCGGTTATCCTTGCAGGGACTGTTTTATTGTGCCTAATATCTGTCCCTACTGAAGTTGTTATAACTTTTATGTTGCTATTTTACCCTACTTACTGATTTTATTCATATTACTGATGAAGCATAGGTTTTGGTGGTTTTATAATTTATTTCATGTCTTATGTTGATCTTTTTGTAAGCCACTTGGAAAGCTAGGCTAAAGGGGTCAGATAAATAAATTGTTGTATTTATGTACATTGCCGGCTTGAAAGGAAAGTCATACCGAATAGTGCTGTTAATTTTGACAGTATTTATTTATTTATTTACAGCCGAAGCCTGTATTTATTGTGCTGAAAATCATATAAAGGATGTTATCCTCTCTCTATTATACCTTTACGATCTGAGGGATTGCATAATAATAGCATTAGAAGGAATGTGCCATTGCTTAGATTGTTATTCACACACAGACACACACAGAGACACACACACACAAGCTTTTAAAAGTATTTCTTTGATCTTTCTTTTAGATTCTTGAAATTTGTTAAATTTGTAGTATTTATTTTAGATGTGAAGGAAAGTCAGTGGCTTAGATCCAGTGATGTGCAAGGAGAAATATAAATGAACATAGCTCACTCCCACTTGCACATAGATCCATAGATTGGTGTTTTTGAGTGGCGTGGTAGTGGTGGAATTTAAAGCTCCACAGGGTCTTCTTGTCTTATCTATCTCAGCTTTTGTACTGAGAGATCAGTTTCATTGGTTGGCTGCAGGAGACAGTTATGGGTCTCTATTTATGGGACAAGTGATTACACTACCTTTGCATGGTTAGAATACCGCAGCCGTTGAAAATATTTTCACTGGGCAGGCAGGACCTTTAATACTTGGTCTGGGCTAAAGGTCAGTTGGGAGTCAATTAATATAGTAGTTGTTATCAATGTCACAGTGTTATCGATGCAACGAACATGAAATTAAGGAAACTCTGGAGCACGACAGAAGACAGGAGGCATGATGTGGTCCATGGGGTTGCGAAGAGTCAGACTTGACTGTGCGACTGAACAACAACAAATATTATGGTTCCTAGGTATTGGTTGCACAAAGTCTTGCTCAAGCAGAAAAAACATTCAGGATATGCTATGTTTAACTTAGTGTAAGGGGCTAGCATGAGAGCGTTTTCTCACTTTTGTTTGGGCAAGAACCCTAACATGTGCATCTTCCAGAGGTTCCAAGCCAATATAAATAGTACAGCAGTATCCCTTGAACAAACACTGGTGGAAACATGCTGTTTCATGCAACAAGTTTTCTACTTGTATACTTCTGAAACATGAAAGATGCAGATTCTTAGGAAGAGTGTTCACTGTATTACATTATTTTGTCTATGTCCATTTGTTCCTTAGATGTAAAATGAGATGTGTGAAATGACTCTGAGCCACCTATTTGTTAGGCCCTAATATGAACAAGTTCTAAATTATCAGTGATAGGGGTTTCAAAAATATGGTTATTTCATGGGACTGTAAAATTAATAGGGGAAAGGCCTCCCATTCCAACATGTAACTGTGAATCTCAGGCCAATAAGTTCTAAGGAAGCCATCTTCAGCCTGCTTAGCATATGGCTATGAATGTATTTGTGCATGAATTACATTGCCAGTTTCCCAAGAACTGGAGCTGGAGTTGATTCACAAGTTAAAGGCTACACTGAAACAAGAGTGGTTGGCTCACCACAGAAAACAATTGTCCCTCTTCAGTGCATTTTGTATGGTAGTCATCTTGCTTCACCAATTTGTTATCAGTTGTTGGTGGTCCGTAGCACTTCTCATGGGATTGCCTGCTCTTTTGGCTAGATCTTGTTTTCACCTATGCTCCTCTGTGTATTGTAATGTACCTGTCTCTTTCATTGTTGAGCCTTCTGATCTTTGCAATACTTTCCTCTTTTCACCATTCATACCCTTGTATACTTCTGCCAAGTAACGGTAACCCTTCAAGCATCTGATGGCGGACTCTGACTCACAAAAGCTTATATCACAATCTACTGGTTTTTACTGTTACCTAAACTGGACCCAGAGAAGGGGAAAACAGATTTTAAAAGGGGTCCAGAAAGGAGTAACACAGGACCTTGGCCTATGTATACCAATTTGGATCTCTGTAGTGGTACCCCAAAATAAAATTATGAAGAGAGTGAGAGTGACTGTAAACACAAACAAATAATTGTATTGTGTACAAAATAAAATAAAATAAATAAAAATGTTAAGAACCTACACTGGGCACTTGAGAACTAATTCCCTAAGTAGGATGGCTCCAGAGCAAACTAATTTATGCAGTAGCCAAGCTGCTTGCTCACAACTTTAATACCAGCAGCTCACAAAGTAGAATTTTTGCTCACAAGACTCTACAGCTTAGAGGGAACATTGTGCACACATGCGCAGCCGGCTGCCTTGCTCTTCGTTCTGTGGCTTCCCCCCCTCCCGGCATCTGATCGTGCCAGGGAGCAACTAAGCGGCGGCTCGGGGGATCTGTGTGATCCCACCGCTGCGCGTCTATTTTGATGCGGCTCAGAAAAGCCGCGCTTTGTCCGTGCCTTCCCCCCCCCCCCATGTGACCGGGGCCAATGACTGAAAGCCTGTTTTACACCCTGGGTTGCTGACTATCTATTTGAAGTCTTATGTCAGCTTTGTTGAAACCGTGGCTGACAATGAAAAGCATCATTTCCTTTTCTGCCTTTCCCTCAAACATGGTTTTCAGTGATTTGCATCATCTGCCTAACCCTGTCACATGTTTGCATATTAATTCAGCTCTCTCCAGTTTCTTTCCTCAAGAAACAGCCATTTCTACTCCTTTCCTTGGAAACAATTCTTGCTCCTCCCACGGCAAAACTCTCTATACATTGTGTATAATCTCTTACAGTTTTTAAAATAATAAAACTTGACGTATTGTTTAGATCTCTCTTCACAAAGAACAAAATCCTTTTTTGTTCTATGGAAAGTTAATATGATGGAGTGGTGGTAATCTTTCTTAGAAAGAAAGGCCAGTTGAGGATTTTTAGCTTAAAGGAACAGGAAGAATTTCATACAGATTTACAAGATCATGAATAATTTTGAGAAGGTTATAAAAGGGAAAAAAATAGTTGCTTCCCTCAAATACCATAATTTAGGTCAATCCCACGAAATGATAACTAGCAGATGAATGAAAGCAAATACTTCACATAATACAGAATTACTCTGTAATGTTTTGTTCCAGGATGTTGTGATGGCTTTCACAAAAGATTAAATTTATGGAATAAAAGCTTCTCAGTGGCTACAAGATATGACAGCAGGAAATGTATCTTCCATGTTCAGAGCTGATTTATCTTGGTTACCAAATGCTAAAGGCAGTCAAAAGGTCTTAAGGCATAGCCTATAGAAAAAACAAAACAACTGAGCCCTGAAAAAGTTCTGTTCTTATGGTCTTGCTGAGAAGATCAAGCTGATGAGGGTCCTTTCTAGATTTCGGCCTAAGAATTTTGACAGTTTCATTTTGTGCTGATCTATTATAGCAAAAGAGCTGAGAGTTTCGAAAGAATCTCAGTTCTAGAACAAACAATAAAGATAGAGTAAGTATCCACCCATTGAAGATTCCAAACAGCTTACACCATTGTTTTCTTCTCTCCATTTTATCTTCACAACAACCCTGTGAAGTAGGCTGAGAATGTGTGACTGGCCTAAAGTTACCCGGCAAGCTTCCATGACAAAGTAGGAATTTGAACCTGGGTCTCCCAGCTCCTAGTCTGACACTCTAACCGCTACACAACAGGCTATATCAGAGAAGAATCACTTTTGTAAAGCAACAAAATATCAGACTTGGAATGACGGGAAAACGGGAGTCCTGCATGATGGTCCTGCTACAGAAGCTCACATCTGGGGACTGTGCATAGCTGCTCAGTAGCTCAACTTTTTTTGTGTGTTTTCTATTCATCTTAACTATTATGCCTGTTTAAAATACACAGTCGAGCTTTTCCACTTTGCCTGTCGGTATTTACTTAAATATTGAAGCTTCTTGAAACCTTATTACTGTGAGGGTTAGGTTTTAATGGATTTTATATGATTTTGAACTTTATTCTGTTATAGAAGAGTGGCTAACAAATCCTGTAAATACACTATAAGGTACATACTTTGCATGCTGAAAAGTCCCGAAAGCCGTTTCTGGCATCTCCAGTGTAAAGGCTGACTTAGTAGCACAAGAAGACAGCTGCCATAGATCTTGGAGAACTGCTACATTGCATTGTAGCAGAACACAGAACTAGGTGGATCCATGTTCAGATAGGATAGGAGGCATGTCATGTATTCAGAACATCAGAGGAGGGCATTAGTGAGAACACAACAAATAACAATTACATGCAAAAAACACCAGATGGCCTGG